GGAAAGAGTACATAAGAAAGAACAGAGGAAGTGCGTAGCTAAGGAGTGGGATCATAGCTTCCTATAAATAAGGCTGGATTAGCCACCTCCTTTTTGGCCTAACCTGTCATAGTCCTAACCGGTCCCATACTTGCTGGTTTTAATGTTTAAAAGAAGCGACAGAAGGAAGCTGTGGCAGGTAGAAATAGGTTTTCTGTCCTAGGCCAAAAAGCCTTTGTGCAGGGAAGCAGTTTGGCAGAGTTCTTCCGGAATAACAAAGAGCACATCAGAAGGTAATGAGCACATGAAGTGGCAAGGAAAGAAATATCTCTCAGGGACAGACAGCGACTACAGTGGCATTGACCAGCTTTTGACAGACTGGTCCATAGCACTTCATGTGCTTGCTGTACTGCCTGTAGCAGACCTGGTGAAGAAACTCTCAACTTCAACATTAAATTCCAGTTCTTCCTTTCCATGCTGCTGAAATATTTAGGAGCAGCTGGGGCCATCTGTTAATACTTGCCACTTCTAACACTGACATAAGCTACACAGCAACATAAAAAAAGGCAAAAAAAACCCACTTCAAAACCCAACTACCGAATTCATGTGGACAGAACACAGCTGAGACTTAGTACAGGGAACAAATCCTGTCATACTGATTATGTATGATGCAAAGAGAAAAATGCCTTAGCAAAATTCATGGAGAATGCATTACTGGATGAGAATTCATATAACAAGCAAATATAAAATGAAGAGGCATAAAGTTCAATCAAGAAAGGAAGACATGGATGTCTCTCTGTAGCACAGAGACCATCTGAGGTGGATGACAAAGACAGGAATCTTACCATCTCCATTCACATCAATTTTGTTGAAGACTCGGTTGGTGAACTCTTCTGCACTAGTTTCATGGTCACCACCATTAATAGCTCGAATAGCCTAAAAGAAAAGAGCAAGAATAGGAAGCTGCTTAACGGCTCCCAAAACGATAGACTGATTCCACTGCAGCCTGTCAGCGTAGATTCAGAACAAGACAGTCATGCCTGGTACCTTCCCCATACAAATGAACCAGCATCATAGGAAAACACAGCAGAAATCATCAGGCCTTATGGCTGGCACTAAAGGGTGCAAAGGGAACATGGTTCTGGAGCATAGAACAAGCAGTGAAACCCAGAGGATCACCCTAAATCTGCTTAGGTAGAGGTTAAGCACTGCAAAAATGGCAGAATCAGGATCCACTTAACTGATCCACTTTCTATTACCCTATGGTCTACCAAGCCCAATAAACACTGTCAAACACCCTCCATATTTGATATTATGAAATTCCTTTGTTATATGCTGTGGTCATTTATTTCTATTCTTGCTTTCCCTATTTCCATTTATATACTGCTTCCTGTGTGTCCTGCTTCTCCCTAAATCTCACTGGAAATTCACTTTCAGCTTGAGAAAGTTTAAACATTATTCACTACTGTTTACCACAATTCATCTTATTCATAACCATATCGTGCAGGTTTCTCTTTTCTTTCCATGCCTAATTGTTCCCTTTGTTTAAGGATGTCCATGAAATATGTGATTCCAGAGCCTTCATATTGATTCTGAGACTGTTCATTTTCTAGTTCTTACCTTCTGATATTTGGTAAGTTTCTTCGTTCTTTTTCAAGTGCCATTTTACTAAGTATCACCTCAGCAACTTCCTAAGGCTGCCAAAAAAGACACCCACAAAATTCAAAGGGCACTAAATTGGTTGCCACCAATTATCGCTCACAGGACTTGTTTCTCAAGAGCTCTGTGTTAAATAATTACTATCTGTGGCTTCACAGTGATGTCTCAGTATTTCTATTGCAAGTTATTAGTAGGAGGCTGTATGTTATTACAGTTATTGATTTTGTTAGGTTTCTTCAATGCCCAACACTAAAATTCATATCCAGATGAGAATGCATTACTAACATCTTTTTAGTGGTTTTAATTGTGGACAGCTCAGGCTTCAAATCTTTATCAAATCCATTTTCTGGCCTTTCATATTCAGAAGTGTAAATTATTTAGGGTCATTGAATCTTTTCTGCATCTTTCTAGTTTCCCAGTCTCTACAGAATAATCTGAACTTCAAGCATAATTCATTCTGAGATATTCATAAGGTCATGTTTATGCCTGTAATTCCAACACCTTCCACAATAGCTATTTGCATACAATTTTTTCCATTGAGAGTCATTCTTCTTCAAACTATTTGCCAGAGTCAGAAATGTTTTATTACATTGACATTTAGGAGCTGGTTCTAAAAAGCAAACTGGGAGTAACTCTCCAACTACTATTCGCATGGGGAAAAGGACATATGCAGGACACATTGCAGAGACCGCAACTGACAGTCATGGAGTCTGAAATCCTGGAAAGTGCAATTTAGGTCCTAGGCAGCTAAAACAATTTTATGCAGATAGCTATGCTGTAACATATGCTGTGGTGGTAAAGAAGAGTCTGTCAAGTCTGCTTACTGGACTATGAGATTGTAGGGAATTCTGCTGAAAGAAAGAATGCTGTTAAAGAAGGTCTCATCCATGATCATCCATATGGGGAATAGCAAAAGTCTTACTTGTGTGGTGGAATTTGTCTTTAAGGAAAGAGGAAAGATCACAGACCCCTAGAGACTTACCTTAATGATGTTGAGCAATTCATGTCGATCAATGCAGCCATTGCCGTCTACATCATACAGCTTGAAATACCACCGCAATTTCTGCTCCATCTTCCCACGGAGAACGAGGCTGAGGGCAGCCACATATTCCATGAAGTCAATATATCCATCCTGTGGGAAAACAAAAACCAAATTGTGACAGGAACAAGCTGAGGGAGTTATGGCTCTGGAGCTATTTTACCTTATTGCTCTTTAGATTCACAGCTAAAAGAGAAAGAAAACCAAATGGCAACGACTTAGACTTAGGAAAAAGCTTTAGTGTACACACACACACACACACACACACATGTGCGCGAACATGCTATTTCTCTGGCCACCTTTAAGATCTCTTAAATACCTGGATTGCTAAAGTTATGATCACTTACATGTCTCGTCTACTCTGTGCTTGCCACCTGCGGAGATGGAACCTGTCACTCCTCATGGCTAGTGTGAACGAACACCTCTCTGTCCACCAGAGCTGACTGCCTATGGCCTGCTGGGAGAGAAAACTGATCCAGAGCCCTGGCTGCCAGAAAAGCGGAATGTAATTTTACCCTGGGTTTTCTGTACTATTCTGCTTTGTCTTTGTGGGAAACTACTGCTATTTCAGTAAGCCATAGATCTCTTCTCCAATCTCTGAAAAAAAAAGTGACTGAAGATATTTTTTAAAATACATAGAACATGATTTGACAGCTGGAAAAATTGTTCTGTATTTAGGTTTTTAAACATTCCATTTCTTGAATCTACAAAGAAACTCAAAAAGCTCTTGTTTCATCTGTAAGAAAAATGCCAGACAGTAAAGGTTCATAATCCCTAGATTTAACACTGACTAAAATGTGAAGTGGTTAAAAAGAAACAACAAATAAAGTGCATATCTCTGTCAAAGATTCTGAATAATTACGTCAACAAATTACAGAGCAAAAAAAATGAAACTTTCATTTATTGAGGTATTTAAACAAAGTCAGATGCCTTTCTGAAATGGATGTAAATAGATATACGTAAAAGCCGAATGTAGGTGGACTAGCAGAGCACTACTGTTTTACAGCAAGGATCACAACATTTTAAAATATTCATTCAGGATCATTGTAGTACTCCCCTTACGCGGGTTTTTCATAACTTCATTGAGGAAAGTCACAGAAAACAAAGACAACCAGCTCTAAAGGTGAGAAGGAGGGCATGATTGCAATTTATAAAATAACTCTATTGAAAATTTATCCTCTTTGTCCTCAGCAGAGTCCTCAGAATCTGAGGGTCCAGAGGGCAGATGATTCCACCCATTGTCAATGTCTGTATTACTACAGGGTGGCTCTTCCTCTGGGTGCTCTTGTTCCTTGCCCTTGTTTATAAAAGGAGCTTAGATGATTAAGTGGCTAACTATTAACAGGCTAAGATTAACTGATGTAGGTCCATCTCCACTGGTTGCCACACTCTTACTTCATTCCCCTTGAGATCACTATCACTTTATTTAGAAAATAGCTTTTTATCTTTGTATTACCAAATTTGAATTTGAGACTCCTTAAAACGTTGTTTACTGCATAACATGTGGCTCACAGGAGAACTTTGGAATGCGTAACATCCTCGAACAAAGTCCTTAAACATCCCAAGAAACGTCAGAGGTAAAGGGAAAGAATTGTGCAAGAACTGTATATATGTTGGTTTAGTTTATAAAACTGCTTCTCATCACTACCATCATCCTGGGCACAGAGAACTTTAGGATGAGAAAGGATATTCTTTGAGATTTGCAGTCATTTCCAGTCATTACATCCACCACAAGACTTCAGCTACCCTAATGGAGCCTGGCTGCTCCTCTCTTACCTTTTTAAGAATTTTGTAGTATTCTTTAGCATTCCTTAATTCCTTATGCCTACTCACCTGTTGTTCAAACCAATGTTCTTTGCTCAGTCCCTAGGCTTTCCTTCTTCAAAACTGACCCTGTGCTTCCCCACCTGTTTCACATGTCTCTGTGACTAGTTCCTCCTTGACTCACAGACATTTGCTCCAGCCATTTCAGAACCTTGGAGCAGAGAACAAAGCTGAATTTTCCCAGGCTGCCATAAACCCATATTTCTCTGTCATTGAGATTACAGGCCTGCAAACATAGGCTTAAGTATATATGGATAAAAAACAGGCAAAAGTGAGGGGCATTGCATGCTTAAAGGAATTATGTGGGCTACAGTTTCTTACCTTAGAGACAGCCAGTAGTCGCCTGTCACAGTGAGGAATACTACCACCTCCCAGCTACTGCTATACGCTACACCTCCTAGCCCTGAGGAGAGCCACATAGATTGTCTACCCATGCAGCATTAATTTCAGCTGCCAAATACCTGGAAATTACTTCCTCTGTGAATGTTATAATGATTTCTATTGTGTTTGATTCCTGTAGTCTCCTCTATCTGATACAGATATATTTTTGAATAATAAGAATAAGAACATATAAGAAAAATACTGAAATCTCCTTCATAAGTATTTTGCCAGTCAAACAAGGCCATGTCAATTAATACACAATAAGGAATTCTCAAAATTCAAAGATGAATTTGCACAAGGTAGTTAGATAATAAAGTGCTATTACCTATGGTTATGTTATCTATGTCATTATCTATGCACAGTAATTTGCTCCTTGCGTTTGGCTACTTTACGTTAGTGTCCCTCAGCAGCTTTCCACACCAATGTTTGTAAGAGAAAACCAAGGACTCTAAAAGCGCAGGACTTGGTTTGCTTTTAAGCAGTACGAGGCAGTTAATTTCCTTGCCGGAGAACATACCTTGTTCATGTCAAACGTGCGGAACATCTGCTCAATGTACTCATTGGCCTCTGGATCCAGCCCTCGAAGCCCAAAGAACTGTTTAAATTCATGCTCCGTCAGCTGTCCAGAAGGACACTCCGTCATGAACTTTTTGTACCAGTGGTGGATCTCAATAGCCTGCAGATCATCCACTGTGGAGCTGTTATTGTTCCCCATGTGTATGCGTGGTCAGAAGAATGGCGCTACAGGAATGATCCTCTTCCTCCTGTTGCTCTCGCAGCACTGCCCATCTGCTCCTGTCCACGTTCAACATTAGTGTCAGTTAAGTGAGGGATCTAACTTTCCACAAGCCAATTATAAATGTTAATCTGCTTAGAGGCTGATTTACAAACCCGAAAGTTTCAATGATACAAACCGTCTTCTTGGAATGGAAAGGAGGTGCAAGATAATCTAGCAAATCACTGCTATTTCAGAAGCCAAATCAGAAAGGGTGAGAAGGTTAATCAGACATGGGCATCAGAAGCTACACTGGCTTGGTACACTACCCTATTTTTAACCTTGATATAATTATACATGAAGATAAGAGGAAAAGGCTACAGGATGTGGGATTTGAGGTAAAGATCTGCTCCTCTAACTGGATTTGAGAGTCTGTTTTCTCAAACAGAAATGTTGGAAAAGGCTCATCCCCACACAGGCAAACAGGCACAAAGGAGCAATGGCAGGTGGGGGGACCCAAATAATCCCCTGACCTGGCTGATCCCAGAACCACCACAGAAGTGTGATCAACCCATAAAAGGCTCATCTGCACAAACAGGAAGAAGCAAAAAGAGACAACCACAGGCTGGGGAACCCAAATAACCCAGTAAGAGAAATGAAGCCCCTGTCCTGGCTCCCTCTAAGGCTGTCAGAGGGGAGCCATCAGCCCCATGGGCCTGGAGGTGACACCCATCACAATGAGTCAACGGGAGAGGTTGTCAGAGTACCTTACAGACTGAGTGGGGTTACTGCTTAGGGGTATGAAAAGCATTGTGGGGTGCAGGGGAAGAACATTTGAGGACTGCACAAGATTTATAATGGGATGTTTAGGGGAGGCACGAAAGGTGGGGAAAGGGATGGGTCTTTGTGGTTTGGGTATGAACAAGCATGGGAAAATGGAGGGAAAGGGGATACAAGGGGCTGGTTGCATGTATAATGGTTGCTGGTCAGTATGAGTGTCGAGCCATGCCCTGTGCCTGATCAGCACAGTCTTTCCTGTCTTCTATCATGTCTAACTCTTTTTCTGGCTGTGCAGCTCTGTGTGTGCATGGGGATTTAAGTGCCCACAACTGGAGTGGGGACCATGGGTCACAGAAGCCTGCATGTATTTGGTGCCAGCAACTGGAATCAGTGAGGATCTAAGCACCAGCAACTAGTGTCAGACCGTGGATCACAGGGTCCCACATGTCTTGGGTGCTAGCAACTGGAGCGAGTGAGAGTATGTATGTCAGTATACGATCACTAGTGAATATCAAGCCAGACTAGCCAGCAAATAGGTTAAGTGGTTTGGGAACCGGGTGTATGTATGTCTCTGTTAGTGAGACAACTGGTGGAGTTGACTATCAGAAGGACCAGGGGTCCAGCCCAACTGCTGGAGAGACTGTAAGGTGTGGGGTTGAGGGAGACACACTTGTCTGTGTGTGTTTCTCTGAGCAGGAGACAGACAGCTGGAGAAAGCAAGGTTCCTGAGAGTCTCATCACAGTAACTGGAGGGACCCACAGTGTACATATTTGTGTGTATGTTGGTGTGTGCAAGGGGATCTGTACCAGCAACTGCAGTGGGGCTGTGGGCCTTGGGGGTCTAGTATGTCCAGGTGCCAGCAGCTGGGGAGACCAGGCATCCAGAGCCAGCTACTGGGTAGACTGAGCCTTGTGCATATGTGTATATTTCCCACTGATGGATCTTCATCCTGATCAGCCAGAGAGGGGGACAGGATACAGCCATTGGTGCTGTTTGTGTTTGTGTGAGTGCTGGGTGCTTCTGTCTGCGTTGCTGGCTGCGTGTACATGTATATATGTGTTGTGTACATGTGTTTGTGTGTGTGCCTACTAAGAATACATTCTCAGCTTTGCAACTGGTTGGACCTGGGGGCATGGAGCTGTAGCAGCCTCACCTCCATCAGGCCACCAGATCTGGCAACTCCTAACAATAGCACAGAATCAGAGGCAATCACCATCTTTACTTAGGAATGGTCATTCCAACATTTTGTCCTCACAAACCTGTATCTGTTAAAACATAGTAATAGTGTAATTAAAAAAAAAATGGAAACCTATAAACATTTTATAGTAAAACAAAGAGAAGTAATTTTAGATCCTGAAGCAATGAACAGTGCTTAACAGTCCATGTACTTATCTTTTCTGGCCAGCATCATAAACCAATGTAAGTAGTACCACCTCAAATTCATTTTCTCAAGAGCATATTAAATCAATGCAACAAGACCACGTATCACAAGTATTTCAGTTACTTATACTGAAGCTGCAGATAAACATTATTAAGACCATTAAAAGATTGTCTGTGTTACTGAAATGTAGTGAGATACTAGTGTAACTGAGCCTTGGAAATTATCACCATTAATCCATTTAAGAAGGACAGTATGTAAAGGAGATGGAGGATTTCTATCACTGTTAGACACCATTCCTAAACATTCTCAAACTAAGAACTCAGCATTATGCTCAAAATCTTGTTTATGGACAAAGAGGAAGCATACCTTACATATAGAACCATAGATCACAGAACAGTTTGGGTTGGAAGAGACCTTAAAGATCATCTAGTTCCAAACCCCCTGCCATGGTCAGGGACGCCTTCCACCAGCCCAGGTTGCTCAGAGCCCCATCCAACCTGGCCTTGAACACTGCCAGGGCGGGGGCATCCACAGCTTCTCTGGGCAGCCTGTTCCAATGCCTCACCACCCTTACAGTAAAGAATTTCTTCCTTATATCTAATCTAAATCTACTCTTTTTCAGTTTAAAACCGTTATCCCTCATCCTATCGCTACACTCCCTAACAAAGAGTGTCCCCCCCCCCATCTTTCCTGTAGGCCTCCCTGAAGTACTGGAGGGCTGCTATAAGGTGTCCCTGGAGCCTTCTCTTCTCTAGGCTGACAACCCCAACTCTCTCAGCCTGTCTTCATAGGAGAGGTGCTCCAGCCCCCTGATCATCTTCATGGCCTCCTCTGGACTTGCTCCAACAGGTCCATGTCTTTCTTATGTTGGGGCCCCCAGAGCTGGATGCAGTGCTCCAGGTGGGGTCTCACCAGAGCAGAGTAGAGGGGGAGAATCACCTCCCTCGACCTGCTGGCCATGCTTCTTTTGATGCAGCCCAGGATATGATTGGCTTTCTGGGCTGTGAGCACACATTGCCAGCCCATATTCAGTTTTTCATCCCCCAATACCCCCAGGTCCTTCTCTGCAGGGCTTCTTTCTATCCACTCATCACCCAGCCTGTATCCATGTTTGGGATTGCCCCAACTTAGGTGTAGGACCTTGCACTTGGCCTTGTTCAACTTCATGAGGTTCGCACAGGCCCATCTCTCTAGCCTGTCAAGGACCCTCTGGATGGCATCCCTTCCCTCCAGAGTATCAACAACACCACTTTACATATATATGTAAAGCCAAGAATTTATTGTTAGTATAACAGAAATTTTAACAGTCTAGTTCAAGAGCCATCGTTAGTCTAGATCTAATTACAGAAAAGCAAAGAAAAATAATGTAGGTCGAGTACTTATATACAGGAAAAAAGTTGCACTAATCGTAAAAATACAATTGAAATTGCAACACACACACTTAGTTTCTATGCCTTTTCTGGTGTTACACTCACCTGACTGCTGCTCCTCTGGATATTAAGATCTGTGGTTCACTCTGGTGTTTGTGGTGGCAGGGTATCATGGCAAGTTGTCAGCATCTGGAGTCCTTCACTGGGAGGAATGTGATATTCTTGTTAATGGTTTCCTCTTTTTCTTTTCTTTTCTTTTCTTTTCTTTTCTTTTCTTTTCTTTTCTTTTCTTTTCTTTTCTTTTCTTTTCTTTTCTTTTCTTTTCTTTTCTTTCACTTAGGCTCATGTTTATATGTTTGCTAACATAAATTTACACCTTTCTCTTTCTTTTTACATTTACATTTGAATGTACTCCATATCTTACATGGTGCCCTGTACATATCTTAGATATGTTTACTTTGTTACCCCTGAAACCAGTTTTGTCCAGCTCTGGGTCTGCATTTTTTTAACTAATCATTAGTTAGTTGTTTATAGCCATGGGGTCTACCAGCACAAAGCCTGTGCCCCATCTCTTATCATCCCATGTCTGTTCTCCTCTATGCCAAATCCTGTGTCTCCACTTCTCAAGACCTCAGCTGTTTTACCAGGCCTGTATTTCTCTACATCATTGTGTTAGAGTTGTAAATATCTCATTCTACCTAGAATAACTACTTACTAATACTACCTATATAAAACCATGGTTATACCACACAGGGATAAATAAGTAAAATAAATTAGCCATAGACACCTCATAATTAGAGAAATTGCTCTCACAGCTAAACCAAGTGAAACAAAGCTGCAGGCAGGTCATGAAAAATTCAGAGCAGGCTTGGCAAGCCTTAGTCCTGAAGCCTTGCGAACTCAGTACAGTCTATGGCAATACCCTGCCCCTATGGCAGGGCTACATGGTCACATCAGAAGCAGGGATACGAGTGCATTTGAATGTATATGCTAACACGGGATGAAGACAGCTGGGAGGTGAGGGAGATCTTAAAGGTCTTTTCCAACCTAAACAGCTCTATGATTCTATGAGGTTGTGCTGCTCAGACTTCATAAAGTCTTCATGAACTTCACGAAGTTAAAAAAGCAAAGTGCAAGGCCCTGCACCTGGGCTAGGGCAATCCCCAGTATCAATACAGCCTAGGAGGTGAATGGGTTGAGAGCAGGCCTGAGGAGGAGGACTTGGGGATACTGGTAAATGAAAAATTGGACAGGAGCTGGCAACGTGCACTTGCAGCCCAGAAAGTCAATCATATCCTGGGCTGCATCAAAAGAAGTGTGGGCAGCAGGTTGAGGGAGATGATTGTCACCCCCGACTCCGTTCTCATGAAACCCCACCTGGAGTACTGTGTCCAGTTCTGGGACCCCCAGTATAAGAACGTGGACCTGTTAGAAGTGGCCCCAGAGGAGGCCATGGAACACCTCTCCTGGGAAGAAAGGCTGAGAGAATCAGGGTTGTTTAGCCCAGAGAAGGCTCCAAGGAGACCTTACTGCAGCCTTTCAGTGTATAACAGGGACTTAGGAGAAAGACAGAGAAAGACCTTTTACCA